TAATTTATTTTAAAAGTTAACTCAGTGTTCATGGGAAAACACAGAAAGGTTATTTTAATCAAAAGAGTAATAGAAAAAAGAGCACTGGGAGCTTACTATAATACTTCCTCTCAGATTTCTAAATATTTTAATTCACTTACATTGTTTATGTACATATTCCCCATTATCAAAAGCCCTTTCAAATACATTATGAACATACTGAAAATTAAATAACAGCCCATGAAATTTTTGTTTAAAAAAAGTGTTAAAATAACAACCTTTCAGATAAAAGTTAACTGATCTCATGAACCAAATATTTAAGTATTAATTAAATGTAAGATTTTGTAGAAAGTACGCTAAGCAAAAAAAAAATCCAGATACAAAAACTACATATTGCATGATTCCATTTATATAAACTATGCAGGAAAAGTAAAATTGCAGAGCCTGAAAATAGCTGAGTGGTTTCCTGGAACTGAGAGTGGGTGCAGGAATAGACTGCAAATGGCCATGACAGAACTTTCTGAAGTGATATGTTTAAAAATTGAATTTTGATGACAGATGCACAAATGCATAAATTTACTAAAAATCATCTAACCTGCAATAGATGGATTTTATTCTGTGCCTAAATAAAACAGAGAAGATTACATGGGTGAAAAACCATGGCATTGTGATTATTAGAGAAGCTGCACTTCCTCGAAATCTCGTGAATCAGTAGAGTAGATTAAACAAAATAATCTAATGACAATGAAAGAGCTTCCCAACAAGTGGTGGGATACTAGTGTTCTTCCAGTGGGTTTCAGGCTGACTAGACTTCAATTTCTTCAGCCATTGAAGTGATATGGTAGGACCTGGGACTTGTATTTCCCTCAGCAAAGAACCTTCTTCCATTGACTCTATTTACTACAGAAACAAAATATTTTACTGATCAAAGGCACCTTGATGAATGAACATGAAGAGAGATCATATCATTACTTATGAATTCAGCTAAAGCAGTGTTTAGAGGGAAATTTATAGCTGCAATTGCCTGTATTAAGAAAAAAGAAAGATCTCAAATCAAAAGCCTAACTTTTCACCTAACACACTGTAAAAACACAAGCAAACTAAACCTAAAAAGGGGAAGTAAATAATGCAGAATGAAAATTAATAAAATAGAGAATAGAAAAATGGAAGGGAGTCTAGGGAATCATCCTAGAAATGTCATTTAAAATAGTTTTTTAATGGACAAACTTTTAGTTAGATGGGCTAAGAAAAATATCCAAATTCTGTGAATATTGGATATTCAAATTAGTAGAATCAGAAACGGAAGAGAGGACATTATTACTGACCTTATAGAAACTAAAAATAATTACTAAAACTATGATCAAATGAGTGAGAAAAATTAGATAATACAGATGAATTGAAAAATTAATGACATTAACATTTAAAGGCAAAAACTGCAATTACTTTTGCATCAACCTAATAGATAAACACAAAATGGTGAAACTGACTCAAGAAGAAAGACAATGAATAGATTTATAACATGAGACCAAATTAGTAATCAGAGAATTACTCCCAAGGAAAAGCTTAGTCCCAGATGGCGCTACTGGTGAATTCTACCAAATGCTTTTAAAAATACAAATTCTTCATATCTCCCAAAAAAATTGAAGGGACCAAAACTCATTCTACAAGGCTACTATCACCCTGATAACAAAATCAGAGACATCACACAAAAAATTACAAGGATAATATCTCTTATGAATATAGAGGTAAAAATCTTCAACAAAGCACTAGAAAACCAAATCCAGTAACAAATTCAAAAAATCCTGTATTATGAAGAAGTGGGAATTGTGCAAGGAAGGCAAAGTTCATTTAATATTGAAAATCAAATAACATATTACATTATATCAACAGAATAAAAGACAAAATCCACATGATCATCTCAATAGATGCAGGAAAAGCATTTGACAAAACCAAACACTCTTTCATTATAAAAACAGTCATAAAACTAGGAATAGAAAGGAACTTCCTTAAACTGCTAAGTGTTTCTATGAAAAATCCAGAGCTAAAATCGCATGTAATTATAAAGGATTATATGCTTTCCCCCTATGATCAGGAACAACACCAACATGCCTTTTCTTACCCCTTCTATTCAACATTGAACTGGAGACAATTGGTCAAACAAGTCAAATAATGTAAATCTAAATTAGACAGGAAGAATTTAAACTATGAGTATTTGCAGATGACATGGTCTTATTCATAGGAAAGTCTACATAATCCATTAAAAATTTTAGAGTTAATAAGCAAGCTCAGTAAGGTTGATTGATACATATAAAATCTATATACAAAAATAACATTGCTAATAACTTCTAATGAATGATTTAAAAATAAAATTAAGAAACTTCCACTCACAATAGCATAAAAAAGAATAAAACAATAAAAATAGCTGTAACCAAAAAATAAAACTTTTACTTTGAAAACTACAAGACATTGTTGAAAGGGATATTGAATGTCTATATATATAGAAAGACATCCCATGTCTGCGGATCAGAAGACTTAATCTTGTTAAGATGTGAGTATGCTCCAAACTGACCAACAATTACAACATAATCCCTACTGGAATCTCAGCTGGTGATCTCTGCAGAATCTCTATGGAAGTTGATAAACTGTTCTGAAAATTCATATCAAAATTCAGAATGGCCAAAACAATCTTGAAAAATAACAGAGGTGAAGTCTTTGCACCCCTGTTTTCAAAACTTACTGTAAAGCAATGGTAATCAAGACAGTGTGGTGCTGGCATAAGAACCGATATATAGATTCGTAAAACATAACTGAGAGTCCAGGAACAAATTCATGTATCTATGATCAACTGATTTTCAAAAAGGAGGAAACTAGACTCTTACATCATATACAAAAATCAACTTAAAATGGATCAGTGACCTGAATATAAGGATTAAAACCATGAAAGTCTTAGGAGAAAACATAGAGCTAAATCTTAGTGACCTTGGTTTTGGCAATGAATTCTTAGCAGTGAAAACAAAAGCACAAACAACAAAGAAAAAATAAATTGGACCTTATCAAAACGTGTTTCAAAATACAAATCAGGAAAGCGAAAAAATTCACAGAGGAAAAAGATTTGCACATCACATATATGATAAGGGCCTAGTATTCAAAACAGAGGAACTCTTAAAATTTGACAAACGGCTCAATTTAAAAAATGGGCAAAGGACTTGAATAAACTTGATATATGGCACTTGATACTGGCATTGTACACCAGGCCGGGAAAATGTTAATGGAGATGGGACATTTAGCTTTCGATATATAAAAATATATATAAGGAAAAATATTTATACTGTATCAATTTATGTAAGTATACTCTATAATGTTCACAAAATCACCTAATGACATGTTTCTCATAATGCATCCCTGATGTTAACTAATGCATGACTGTATATAATTCTATTTATATTAAATATCCAGAATAGATAAATCTATAAGAGACAGACAGTAAATTAGTGGTTGCTTAAGGCTAGAGTGGTTATGGGGTTGATAGCTAAAGGGTACAGTTTCTTTTTGAGATGATGAGTATATTCTAAAATGGGTGGTGGTGATGATTACACAATTCTGTGAATATACTTACATATTACCCCCCAAATATGTACTGTGAGTAGTTCACAAAAGTAAGTGTGTCGATCGGATTAATAAATTCCACATGAGTGCCTACTAAGTACTCAGATATAAGACTAAATAGGGTGTTTTGTCATTTTCTCAGGAGCAAACACACTGCAAAATAAATAGATAAAAACACAGTCCAAAAGTTAAAAAGTGGTGAGCCAGAAACCTTCCACTGGGTTAAAGGGAAGGACTATTCTCAGTGATGGTTAAATTGGCATTCTCAATGCCTACAAAACAGCTATATAAAGATAAGAGGGAAGATGATTCCAAGCAGAGGGGAAAGCAAGTGTGACATGGAGAATAGGTGGGTAAGTGTTTAGGGACTGCATGAAGTCCAGGGTGGATGAATAGCAAAAGATTGGGGGAACAAAGGGAGAAACCAAGGTCCCAGAGGTCATGAGAGATTGGTCAAAGGCAGGTCTGCAGGGCTTTTAGGTCAGGGTGAGAAGCTTCGATTTGCTTCTTTTCAACCCCCTATTACTCTGTGCACCTCTCTGCTGTTACACATAACCCTCTGCATCTCCCTATCCTGCCTGCTCTAAGGAAAATGAAAATTTCTCATTCATCTTCAGTGCATAACTGGGATCTCAGCAGAGGTTTCCTGAATGAACAGGTCACATATTGGTGTTAATAATAAGGCAAAATTCTAAATCTTACAGGACATTTAGAATAAAGATTAAACAGAAGAAAAAGAAATGTTTTCTAAAGGTAATGTAAAAATGAAGGTCCAGCAAATTGCATCTGAATTCCTCCCAGCCTGGTTATTTCTACTAGAGACCATGATGCTTCCCCAAGTTTGAATGAGTTAAAGAGAACATCTTACTAATTTAATTAACTCATTGCCAGAGTCTGAAACATCAAACTGCCAGCAAAAAGCAGCTTTATACTCTGCTTATTGTGTGGTAGTCATTAACTGTTTCTCTAGCTTGCTCACTAAGTATTCCAAGTCATTGTGCAGAATCATGGTATCTACTGTTACATCACCAAGAGCTACAACAAACAAAAATGGAAAGGGTATTAGAATACCATTCGTGCAACTGAAATACAATTATGTATTACCTTTCAAATAACACGATGATAAAATATGCTTTACTTAGAAATGACTTATAAACGTTTTATTGTCTAATGATTAGCTTTGGGTTTGCATGTTGGATTTTCTGTTTGCACTACACTGGGATTCTGCCAAGATTCTAATTGTAACATCATTATCCAGAAAGGCACGCACCAGTTCTAACACAGTTGAGACAAAGCTAGCCAAATAGCAGTTTCAGAGTGTAATACCACACATTTATGCACATAAATAGAGCATGTTTCTTGGGGAGGATTAAGCAAACAAACAAACAACAATACATTTTTTTCAACTGGCTTACTGTGGCCTTGAGGCTTCGGCCTGGTCTGTCTGCAGTTTTTCTCCTTCCACTTCCATTGTACAGTAAACAATTCGATTGGGAGCAACTGACCTCAAGCCTTCCACTTCCATTATGACAATCTAAAGACAAAATGATTTTAAAATAATGCATCAAGCTGATAACATTTAGCAATATACAAAAATAGCAGCATGAACTGTAATAAGGAAGACGGACAAAACTGAAAAAAAAGTTGTTATTTGTTAACATCACTGGTATTTTATCTTCTTTATAATCCACCTCTATTCATAGAAGGTATAGTAAATAACATTCTGAGGAAGTCTAGTACCTGAAAATATATCTTCTGCCACCTATAAACAAAGTAAGTCAAATGTCACAAATATACGCCCTAGTGAATCAAATAAAATTTAAACTCAGATCCTTAACGAGTAAAGGCAAGTCTGCATGAAATTAAGCAGAATCACAAATGAAAATTCAGTGCAGATGATATCAGCAGTACATGGTAAGTTCCATATAAGGTAATATAGTACATATTACTGGTAGACATTATTGCCATCATACCAACTCATTGATATCAATATGTGATATCAGAAATTTTCTATATTCACTTATTTGAGATGACTATTGCTACATGTAAAAAGAGTTTTATTTGTGGTCTGTGTCTTATTAAATGGAAATTATAACTTGTCACTGAACATCTTAACACTAACTTCATAAGAAAAAAATGATTTTTCTGTTCATTAAAGCTATGTACTAATTTAATTCGGCATATTGGAAAAGGGTGGAAAAACTGATATTGCTTTATGTATTTGTAACTCCTAGGAGAAAGGACAATGTATATTTTTTAAGTGTGCTTTTTAATGTTTATTGAAAAGGCTGCCAATCTTAAAATACTGTAACCTAACATTCTCATTGAATGTATACATCAAATATAAATATTATTTACCATACATTTTTCAATCAAAAGTTATATCATGAACTCTTCTAAATTCTCAAAATGTAATTTATTTTTTATTTATTTATTTTTTTTTCCCATTTATTTATTTTATTGTATTTTAGGTTTTGGGGTACATGTGAAGAACATGCAAAATTGTTGCATAGGAACACACATGGCAGTGTGATTTGCTGCCTTCCTCCCCATCACCTACATCTGGCATTTCTCCCCCTGCTATCCCCCCCCAACCTCCCCCCCCCCCCCCCCCCCCCCCTATTTCCCCCCAACTGACCCCAGTGTGTAGTGCTCCCCTCCCTTTGTCCATGTGCTCTCATCGTTCAACACCCGCCTATGAGTGAGAACATGCGGTGTTTGATCTTCTGCTCCTCTGTCAGTTTGTTGAGAATGATGGTTTCCAGGTTCATCCATGTCCCCACAAAGGACCCAAACTCATCGTTTTTGATGGCTGCATAATATTCCATGGTGTATATGTGCCACAACTCTTCTAAATTCTCAAAATTTAAAATTTAATTTATAACATGGATTGCATTTATTGATAAATGCATTTATTCATAATAATTTATAAAATAGAAATGCATTTTTAAATATACACATTGTTTTCTTCATTGATCTCATGTTGTATTTGCACAAACAATAAAATTCATGCTAGGTAGCTACCAAAATATCTACCATAAACATAATCTGTATCAATTACTGATCATGCAATATTTTATAACCGTCATTATACTTTTTACAGAGTCATGAAAAGAATTTTGATCCAAAGGGCTCAAAAAACAAACCATCTTAAAACCGTTCTTCCTTTCAGCTCTGTTACAAGAGAAGGACTATGTTTGTAAATATGAGTGTATATTTGGTTTTTGTTAAATTTTGTTTTCATACAATACATAGGAAAGTGACCACTCAGTTATTTATCAATAAGAAAAAAGGTCAAACTCAGAACTAAGTTTTCTTCCTCAACTAGAGATCTGTCATTTTCTCACATTAAAATGCATATCAGCATATAAATAAAAATAAGGACTTATCCTGAAAACAGACTAAGAAAATTAATGGAGAATTGATAGAGAAAAGAAATATTTTTCACAGCTGTTCTAATACTGCTTAGGGAAACTGGGATGAAATACTGAATCTTTTTTCTTTTCTTTTTCTCTTTTTTTTTTTTTTTGAGATGGAGTCTCATTCTGTCACCAGGTTGGCAACCTCCTGTCACCAGGTTGGCCCAAGCAATTTTCCTGCCTCAGCCTCCCATGTAGCTGGGATTACAGGCTCATGCCACCATGTCCAGCTAATTTTTGTATTTTTAGTAGAAATGGGGTTTCATAACGTTGGCCAGGATGGTCTCTATTGCCCTACCTCATGATCTGCCCTCCTCAGCCTCCCAAAGTGCTGGGATTACAGGGATGAGCCACTAAGCCTGGCTGAAATACTAAATCTTGATTAAGGAAAATAAGCAAACCAAGTTATGCATTTTTAATGACTCAAGTTTTTTTGTTAGTAATATTAAAAATTGTTAGACTCCTATACAAATAAAACCAGAAACTGAGATAAATCAAATATATAACCATATTAATTAAAAGTCAACCTCATTTGAACTTACCACCATTACTCTAATAATTTCTTTCTTTCTTTTTTTTTTTTTTTTTTNTTTTTGAGACAGAGTCTCTCTCTGTTGCCAGGCACCAGGCTGGAGTGCAGTGGCATGATCTCAGCTCACTGCAATCTCTGCCTCCCAGGTTCAAGCAATTCTCCCACCTCAGCCTCCAGAGTAGCTGGGACTACAGGTGCACGCCACCATGCCCAGCTAATTTTTGTATTTTTTTTAGTAGAGATGGGGTTTCACCATGTTGCCCAGGATGGTCTCGATCTCTTGACCTCATGATCCGCCCGCCTTGGCCTCCCAATGTGCTGGGATTACAGACATAAGCCACCACGCCCAGCCATTTCTTAATAATAAAAATGTGTGATCGTCATTTAAAATGTACAAAACAATAGAATTGTGTACCACAAGCCTAGAAATTCTAAGAGCATTGCTTCATATTTCAGAATATTATTGTTTACACTGCATCTCTTCTGCAGTGTATTTAAATAACCAAAGTGCAAGAGAGAAGAAAAGAAGCATCTGCTTGACATTATTTCTGTCACCTCTACTACAAGCTACTATAAACATGACCTCCTAAAACATACAACTTGTGAAACGGCACTCTGCTTTTCAAAACAATACTTCCAACTGTGCTGGGAATGTTTTATCCTTCAGAATTTTCATTTTCAAAAGATATTCTGTGATGAATCTATATGTATAAATAAAACAACATGATTCTACAGATCTGATATCCAAAAGAAAAATAAAAAATAGGTGGCCTTAGTAACTAGTGATAAAGACAGCCAAGAATTCCATGGACCATCAGCTTATCTAATTTTAAAAAGTATTTAAATTCCCAGCAAAACTTGCTAATGGACCTACAGAAACTAAATTGACCTATTTTTAATCTTCTCTTCCCCAATCTCTCTGTAGCTGATGTCATAGGGATAAAATAAAGTTGTCCTAGAAGCAAAAGGAAGGGAGATAAGTATAAAATGTGAAACTAGGTAACACTCTTCCAGGAAAACACTGACCACAGAGTTAGGAGACACTTAAGCATGCGTAGTTTATTAGAAAATGACGCTGGGCAGTATGGTGAAACTGGGAACCATAAGGCACCAAACACAGAGGAAGTCATGGGATGCTAACCTGAAATCGATAACAGAATTCATTGTAAAAAATCAACTGCATGCTGGGTACGGGGGCTCATGCCTGTAATCCCAGCACTTTGGGAGGCCGAGGTGGGTAGATCATGAGGTCAGGAGATCGAGAGCAGCCTGGCTAACATGGTGAAATCCCATCTCTACTAAAAATACAAAAGCTAGCCAGGCGTGGTGGCATGTGCCTGTAATTCAAGCTACTAAGGAGGCTCACGTAGGAGAATTGCTTGAACCTGGGAGGCAGCAGTTTCAGTGAGGCGAGATCATGCCACTTCACGCCAGCCTGGGCAACAGAGAGAAATTCAGTCTCCCAAAAAAAAAAAAAAAAATCAACTATATTCATGCCATTGAGATCATTCCCCACTTTCCACTTCTTAGGTGAACATTTGTTTTTCTAGTTTTGCTTGCATTTAACATTATTTAATTGCTTACCATTTTGTGGGTTAGCTCATTTGTTGCTTTAATATTTCTCTCTTAATAAACAGAGAGACCTAAAAGTAATCCTGTATGGCTAACTGCTTTTTTGATACCATAAAAATCCTTTAATTCAATACGTATTTATTGAGTCAAGTGTGTGCTACGCACTGTTTAGTTACTTTCAATACGTCAGTAAACAAAAAGGAGAAAGAAATATTACCTTCCTGCAGCTTACATTCTAGTAGAGAAAGCAAGATAATTAACAATAAACATAATAAATAACTGAACTATATGTTAGTTGGTAAATAGTATGGCAAAAAATGAACTTGGTAAGGGAATAAGGTATAATGAGAGAAGGGAGATATGGGAGCAATTTTAAAGAGAAGATGAAATTTAGGTAGAGTTTTTCAAATCTGCATCTTATTCCTTTGGCTCAGTACAGTTCTTAGAAAAGATTCCTCCACTGGACCACTTCTAAGCCTGACTAATGAAATGTGAGAGCTTTAAATTGGATTAACTGCTTGCCTTTCAGAGTTTACTTAGGTTGAAATATGGGGTCTGAGGAGCAAGGCTTGCTTAAAGGGCTAGGGATAATTATTCAGTTTAGCTTTGCTGATGTCACAGGCCCTGGGACAAGTGGCATATCCGTTCTCTCTGGTGTCCTATAAACATGCACTGCATCATCATCACTTAACGTGATTTTACTTTGTTGCTGGACACATAACTCCTGCTTAAAATACTGTGGACACAGAGAACAGATTTGTATTATGCTATGGTAGGAAAATATCTGCCTTAGACAGACATAGCAACAGAGGATGTCAAAACAATTTTATAAATACGCAAGCTTCTCAGACCATGGAAAATAAAGTTTTAGCTTATATTCCCTGCCTAACAATCTACTGCCAACTGAACAGCCCTCCTAAACATATTGGCAATAAAGCACAGAATAACAATTCATCATTTCGCTTAAACATTGACTCAATACCTAATTTTGTTTTCAATAGGTAAAATATAATTAATAAGAAGTTAATTATTACAATTGTTTAAGATTTTTGAACAATAGAGAAAAGAGAATATGTTCTGAGCTTTTAGTTCTGAATGTTTACATGTGAAGATAATGGTAGATTTGTACATCATAAAAGTTATTTGCTCTACAAATTATTTTTTCCATCAATAAATTTAAATGATAGGTTGGGCATGGTGGCTCAAGCCTGTAATCCTGGCATTCTGGGAGGTGGAAGTGGGTGGACTGCCTAGCTCAGGAGTTCAAGACCAGCCTGGCCAATATAGGGAAACCCCATCTCTACTAAAAATACAAAAAAAATTTAGCTGGACATGGTGTTGCATGCCTGTAGTCCCAGCTACTCAGGAGGCTGAAACAGGAGAATCCCTTGAACCTGGGAGGTGGAAGTTGCAGTGAGCAGAGAGACTCAGTCTCCACAAAACTAACTAAATAAATACATAAGATAAACTCTTATTGGAAAAATTATAGTATAATTAAATGAATCATATTTTGTATAAAGTTTTAAAAAATAGAAAAGGATTGACCGTTTATATTTCACTTAACAGGAGATCTGAGGCAGGAATGATAAGGAAATGCTACAGGTAACATGCAATGTAGTTTCAAATTAGACATCCTTATGTTAGAAGCCTGAAAAGTCTGAGAAGAAAGCCATTAGTGAAGCCATTTGGCAAAGCCATTAGGTAAGCCCAGAATTGAATTTTGAGTCAAAAGAAAGCCTCATAGTTCTAATCTGACACTAAGTTTAATCTACTAATCTACAAATAAATCATTAATCATGAAATTAAGAAAGTGAGAAGCAGATGTCATCCTCAAGTTTGAATTTATCTCAGAGTTAAATATATGGGAAAAAAAGAATAAAAATAGAAGTTTTCTTTTCCTGCCATAAACTAAGCAAGTCAAGTTTCAACAAAGAAATTGAAAACTGTTCTTCGTAAGACTATTTACTTTTCTTTGTCAATCAGCAAATGAAAATGGCAGCATGGGGAACCAGCAGAGAGGATAAAAGGAAGGAGCTATAAACCTCAATGTAATTTTTGAGAGAGCTATGAATTAAAGTATCACATTGTTAGTATTTACTCATAGAATAAAAATTATGGGGAGGGGGAGCTTCAGTTTAAGCCAAATGGTGACCTGACAGTCCGAATTATTATGTTATAATCTTTTATTTTAATGCTTCACATAAATTCCTCTAAAGGTATCTGTCAGGGGTGTGTGTTTGTGTGTGGTGGTGTACAAACTCATAGACATATAACTAGATAAGCCCATATGCATAGATCAGCAATGAAGAATTATGCGAAACATCAACAGGAAGCTGTACAAAGAGTATTAGTGTTTGGATTCTAGTGATTTGCATAAAATATGAAATTCTGAAGTTTTGGTGAACACAATTTTAAATGTATGACATTTGTTCTTGTTCTAATATGTATTGTCCCTGTAATAAAACTTGAAGTCCTGAAAAAGAAGAATTATCTGTTTCTCATCATCCATGTTATCTAATAATGTACATTATAACTGGTTTGTTTGATATGATCCTAGAAAAATGATCCCACAAATAAAGTAGATTTAAAAAGAAAGGTTAACCAAAAACCTGAAAAAAGTTCCCAAATTACAAAGAGTTCACTTATATGATGGATTGCTATTTCTACCCCAGTGTGTTTTGATGCTTATTTTATCAATGAATTTTTGTTATCCTTGTGTTTTTGAGACAGGGTCTTACTCTGCCTGCCAGGCTGGAGTGCAGGGTCATGATCGCTGTTCAATGAAACCTCAACCTCCAGGGCTCAAGCAATCCTTCTATCTTAGTCTCCCAAGTAGCTGGAACTACAGGCACACACCACCATCATGATGAGATACCTTTTGTTTTTGTTTTTTGGTTTTTTAGAAACTGGGTCTTGTTATGCTGCCCAGGCTGATCTTAAACTTCTTGGCTCAAGTGATCCTCTTGCATTGGCCTCCTAAAGTGTTGGAATTACAGGTGTGAGCCACCGTGCCCATCCTATGGTATCAGTAAACTTATACTAGCCTGACTGGCATAAAGAAGACTTGCTTTAAAACTTTTATTATTTTATCATTTAGTCCTAATACTATTGTTATATTCAAAGAAAAATTTGCATTCATTTGCATATACAGGTCGAATATCCAACAAATGAAGAATAATTTAACATCTCCAACATATATTGCACTGTTTTAAATTCTAACAGTTACCACAAAGGTCAGCAGAAATTATTATGCAGCCTTATTTATGCTGTCAGAGGCAAGAATGAGATAAAGCTACTTACCTCTAAGGTGAATGATAGTACCACGTCAGACTTTGACAGCTGAATCTCATTCTCATCCCCTATGTCCAAAAATGCAGAATTCTGTGAACGTTTTAATTTTTGTAATTTAAATTCTGGACCACCTTTTGAAACTGGAAGACTTTCCAAATTGGCCATTAGCAAATTCACTGAAGACCGCAGCTCTTCTATATACATATTCTCCATATCTTTTGCTATAAATTGGGGGAATTTTCTTTCCTTGAAAATAATTTGTAAAATAATAGTGTTACATAAGTCATATTTCAATTTTATCATAAAAAATGTATGATGCATATACTTCACTGTCTTAGAAATTATAAAACTCTCAATATATCTACCCTACTTGAGTCACTAGGCTTTAAAATCCTCAGGCATTGGTATTTATGATTATATCTAAAGGTACTTCAGATATCTTATTGAGGATCACTGCAGAACAAAATGAAAAAAATCACATATATTTTCACATTAACTTTATTTGTGATAAGATTTGCTTAAGGAAAAACGAACTCTGAAAACATGCATGGAAGGAAGATATTTTAGTGTATAGGTGAATCTTAGCCACTAGTAGTTTGCAATGCTTAGGATAACTGGTATGTAAGAAAATGTTGAGGACACAACTGCTTTGCCAGTTAGGAAACAAACATTTTAACAACAGCTCAATTTTTTACCACAGATATGCATTGCTGGGAGAGTATGCTTTCCATAAATAGGCATTCAAACCTAAAAACTTGTATTATTGAACAGTGATATGGTCATATTTCTAAAATTAGTAAATGTTCACATTACATGAATGTGCCAAGATCTCTTGTGGCTATAAATTCAGTTTTTCACTGAAGGCTTAGAGAAAAGTGTAAAGCAAAAGGAAAATTTATGATTAAAAATGATTAAGGGAAAAAGTAACAATATCAATTTGGAAGATTCTATTTTCCTGCCAAATTAAATCAGCATTACCATTCAATACTTTGAACTCTGCCATCAGACTTGTTTCTTCTGCTCGATTAAAAGGACATTCTAAATATTGATATTTAGATAGTGCCAAATCGTTCTTAGAGAATATTATAACAAATTTATATTCTTCAGAACAGCAAATGAGAGTACTTTGTTCCCTCATACTCTTGGCTCTTTATTTAATGTTTGCCAACCTGGCACTTAGATTTTCTCTCTTAAAGACAAAGGGTACATAGTTTTACAACATAAAGCCCAGTATGAAATGATCACCACTGCTCAGAACCGGCTGGAGGATGAAAGCCTAAAGCAGCCATCTTTCAAATGACTGCTGAATGCTCTAGAAAATCACTGCCTTTACTGTTGCCCCCCTTGACATCACTCAAAATCTAACCTAAGAAATCTACACGTCTCTAGTATGACTGGACAGCGTCCAGTGTGCTTCTGTCAACCTGCACCTAGTCTCTGACTTGCTTGCACCAATTCGTTCATGGGATGGGAAGGAACATCTGGCACCACTTCACAGATCAGTCCCAGAGTCTCAGGCCACCTGTTTTTCTTCTCCCCCAGGATAACCTTCACATATTTCTTTCTAAACTAATTTACATATAATCAAAATTAAAACTGCATAATGTCACAGATTAAATATCTACATTAAAAATTAACTTTCCCACAGAAGGTTCTTAAGCATCCTTTTAAAACTTCTCTACAGTTTGACGCAACATTCAAAAATAGCAAATTTGTATCCTTAAGAAAACGTGTAACTACCCAGCTATAGAATACCTGGGTTTTTTTTGACAGGGCAGGGCAGGAAAGGAATTGTTTTTAAAATAATTTTTCAATATAAGCAAAAGGGGGAAAAAAGTAAAATGATCCATAAAAAACATATGTTATGTTTTTGGATTAAGTTTAAGGCTGTCAGAAAAACCATCCAAAACTAGGAAATAAGGGAAACAATGAGGAGGCAGATCCTTTCAATCTCACATGGAGGTGAAGGCCATCCAATGATTGTTTGTGGAAAAGTTCTTAGTTCATCTTATTATTTATTATTGACTGAAGGTTCAAGACAATAAAGTTACACGTTACTTTGTAAAACTGCATCTGAAAGAGATGTAAATAATGTTTGCCTGGTGAATAATATAAGTCAAAGTTTCAGTTTAAATCTGTATTAGAAATTAACCGATTTTTAATTGAATCCATTAATCTTATCTTAGTAATGTCCCCAAACACCTAGCTTCTCATATACTCTTTGGCATGGTCTTAATATCTAACTTGTTTGCTTATTAACTATGCATTGAATAAAATCTCTATTGTGTGTCCATTTTATATTTGTTGAAAGTCATAATTTTTCCCATTAAAAAATTATAGTGTAACAAAGCAAAAGGCGAGCATATCATATATCTGAAAGTACTGATGTTCCAATGCTTTTCTTTCAAATTTTCAAAATGTTATGGAAAATCTAGCATTAGGATGAGAAAAAAATAATCTATTTGTATTTAGCTTTAACTATAAGCACTTCATTAACTATCATCTGTCAAAGAAGAGAAAAGCAGGCAACACCAAAATTGACTCTTTTATCAGTATTTTCAAATTTTTCAAGGAATAGACTATACCAGATTTTTTTTTCCCTGAAAAAGCTCAAATACTGTTTTAAAGCTTTGAGGTTTATTGATAATATTTCAACACCTCTATTTAACCTGTTTGTGTTGTCCCTCACTGGCAAACAACAAAACCAACTGTATATCAGACAATTATACATTTTAAATGTGTTCTTTTAAACTAGAATTGAATCAGAAATAGGGTTGTTTCTTGGTTGTCAAACTATGAGTCAGCTCTTATAAGTCATGTGTTCTAATTGGGTCCTCTGTACAGCATAGGTCACTAGTGGTCTTAACACATGGTATACACACACAAAAAATGTTGTCTTCTTTAAAATTTTTTTCTCATTATTCAGATATAATCACTTTTTCTTAAGTGCTCTTAACCTTCCACTAGATGACATCTTGGGTTCATATGACAGGATAGTTTCTCTAAGCTGATCTCTGCTGCTTCCCATGCCCCCATATTAATTTTTGGTTCTAATCTTAGCATAATGGCATCAAGTGAACTACTGGTTTTGAAGCTGGTTCCAATCCTAACTAAAATGCTGAAGTGTTTAGTTTTTTTTGTTGTTACAAATTAGAGCAGATTCAGTTATTCTTGTCATATTGGTACTCTCTCTTCCTTTCAATTCAAATATGCCTTTGAGTGGGAGAAAACGGAGAGAGTCTATAAATAATTCAAGAATTCTTCACAGTCCTGGCTTTCTCACAAATATGCCAGCATATAAAGACTCAGTCATTCAACAGACATTCCCTGAGTGCCTGCTATGTGTTCTGCTCCAGGCCCCTGGATAGAACCATGAAGATAATGGACAAAAATCCTCTGCTGCTGTGGAACCTATATTTTACAGACTTCATAAACAAGAAAATAATTTCTTATGGTAGAAAGTGGTAAGTACCATGGAGAAAAAGTCTAGAAGGGACATACAGTGAGTGGTAAGAAGGGCTGTAACTTTAAACAAGGTGTTTGGAGAAGGTCTCAATGAGGAGATGATGCCCTTTGAGCATAAAAGTGGATGAGGAAGTGTGATGATTAATTTTGTTTGTCAACCTGGCTAGGGTATGGTGTCCAATTGCTAGGCCAAACATGAATTTAAATGTTGTTATCAAAATATTCTTTAGATGTGAATAACATTTACAATCAGTAAATTCAGTAAATCAGATCACCCTCCTATATCTGGAGTAGGTCTCATTCACTCAGTTGAAGGATTTATGAGCAAAGACAAAGGTTTCCTAACGAAGCAGCAATTTTGCCTCAAGACTAAAACACAGAAACACTGCCTGAGTTTCTTGTCTGCCAGTCCACCCTACAGATTTCAGACTTAAGACTGTAACATCAATTCTCACCTGAATTTCCACCCTGCCTACTTGTCCTATGAATTCTGGACTTGCTAATGCTCACAGTTATGGGAGCCAATTCCTTGAACTCAATCAATCTCTCTCTCTCTCTCTCTACTTGCCCTCCCACATGTGTGTGTGTGTGTATGCACATGCATGCTCTGCAGTTATTTTATAAATATATATACACATATAACATGTATGTATGTATAACATCTGCTTTTTAATATTATGTACATATTTATTATATCTATCTAGATATAGGTCTACATATATGAATATATAGATAAATCTATTGGCTCTGTTTCTCTGGAGAACCTGACGACAGCAGGGAAAAAGCCAGGTAAATGTCAATGAAAGATAACTGCAGGTGAACAGCAGGCCCAAGGCCCTGTGGCAGGAAAACCAATGAGGCCACCATAGCCAAAGTAGATGAAGCAAGGGCAAGAGCTTAGTGAAGGATAAAGTCAGAGGGGTAACAAAGACCAGATCATACAGGACTTTGTGGACCATTTTAGGAACTTTTCTTTTTCTCTCAGCAACACAGGGAATCATCACAGATTTAGTGCAGAACATCACTGGCTGCTGTGTTAATGGAGATGAGTGGAATCCAGGAGACTAGTTAAAAGGACAGAACAATGATCCAGACAACAGACAAAGATGATTAGACCACATTTTGGAAGGTGGAGGATGGCAGCCATCGTCACATTCTGGAAATACTGTGAAGGTAGAGATAAAAGGATTTCCTGGTAAGTTTTGCATGAGGTATGAGAAAAAGGAATCAAAGATGATTACAAGTTTTTTGGTCTGAGTATCTGGAAGAACTGTACTATCGAGAACTGGCCTGCCTTGACCACTTGACTGGAAACTGTAACCTCCCACCACCTCCCTCCTACACTACTCATATCCTATTTTTTCTGACTTATTTTCTAAGTAACAATAATCACTATATATAATTTAGTTACATAGCATGATTACTGCTTACTGTGGGGCTATTCCAAATAAAATGTAAGCTCCACCAGCGCCTGGCAGAAATATTTTTGTCTTGTTTTAACTCAATATATCCCAAGTACCTAAGACAGCACCCAGCTGTATAGTTGGTGTTCAATAAATATTTGCTCAATGAATTTGATAGAAAAAAATGAGGCTCTAAAATGTTAAGTAATGTGCCTACTATTATATCTAGACAATAGCAATCACGAATTTGGTCACAGGTCTTTCTGTACATATTTGGTCCACTACTTCCTAATTATTCTTGGCTAAAGTACTAAAATCTGTATTTCCCTTGAAGCAGAGATTTTTGCCCTGCAGTCTTATTGTTATTACATTGTATTGTTCTGTGAAATGTGGAAAGGGGTGTTTCTGATTGCCAACTAACAGCTAATTATTAACCACACTTCTGGCATTATCAGATTGCAGAAGCAACAGGATGCAAGAGAGCAAGCCCAGGCTCTGGAGATGAGGCCTGTCTCAGCCACTTATTTGTTATGTAATCATGGCGAAATAAATAATCTTGTCTAAGCTTCAATTTCCTCTTCTATGAAATTAACTTCTTGATATCATTTGCCCTTACAAGGTTTTAGGATTATTGTAGGAATGTAACTCAACAAGGTCAGTAAATTGTTATTAGCCTTAAAAACATTTTAAGAAGGCCGGGCGTGGTGGCTCAAGCCTGTAATCCCAGCACTTTGGGAAGCCGAGGCGGGTGGATCACGAGGTCAAGAGATCGAGACCATCCTGGTCAACATGGTGAAACCCCGTCTCTACTAAAAATACAAAAAATTAGCTGGGCATGGTGGTGTGT